ATGCATAAAACAGCTTTATGAAAGCCACTTACATATTACTTCTATACTTCATACTGACTCACTTTGGGAATTGATTTTCAGTATAGGATGTCCTGGTCATCAAAAATCATTCATTTTGTTTCTCTGGTATATTTTCACTAATTTTTCAAATGTGTTAAATTACTTCATACTATATGATATTATACATAATAAATAAACTATCAAACATATTTGGTTTTCCAAATTTATTAAACATCTCCATTTCTATAAGGATCAAGAAGGTTGAATAGCTCTCACTGCTATAGCAACTCGTATCCTAAACTTTAGCTTGGGTAAATATTAGTAGGTAGAGTGTGGCATTCAAAACCCTAGCTTCCTAGCTATTAGTCCCAGCTTCATGTAAAATTTCTGACATTGTAGATATTAAGATCTCACTGATAAACTAAGGCATAACGAGAAGTTACATGAAAGTGCTGTGTAAACTGTAATGTAATGTAGGTAGTATCTTGGAACAGAAAGCAGAGAACTTCCTCAAAAGTTCTTAACTCATAACTTCTCTCATAACCTCATGGCCTCAAGACATCCCAAACTGTCAGACAAGGGGCTAAAGGACCAAGCTTTCTGCTAGTACTCATTATGCTTTCACATGTACATACTGTATTTATATTCAATTTAGTTTCTTAATATTCCCTTGCAAACCCATAGATAGAGACAGGGGCAAGGAGTCCTGCTGCCCTAAAAAATTACTGCTTTTAACTGCTATGGAATTAAATTTGGTCAGGAACCTCTTCTACTCAGAGAAGCAAATAAAGAATGAGGATACTTTAAATTCTGGTTCTGTAGTTTTGGATCAACATTTTTCTCCCTTCCTGACATCCCTGAATACTCAGATGAGGTGAGAGAACATGAATTCACAGCGGCGCCAAGCTGAACTGTGTCTCCAGAAGGCTGAGAAGCCTGGCTATGGGTTCACATGGGTGCATGAAAGTGCATAGTTGGGATCATCAGGGTTGGAATTTTGCCAGGAGCACGATGAAAAGGAAATAAATCATGTTTGAGGACACTGGCAAGAGAGTGGTAGATATAATGACTCAAAATTAAAGCTGTAAAGAGAAGAAAATAAAGATAAGGGGAGCTGGTCAAGTAATGAATGTAGTTACAATAACCACTGAAAAAAAATGAGGAGCCAGGTGGTGGCCCATGCCTGAAGGACCAGTGACTCAGGAGGCTGAGGCAGGAGGGTTGCTTAGGCCCGGGAGTTCCAGGCTACATGTGCTGTGATTGAGCCATGAACAGCCACTGCACTGTAGCCTGGGCTACATAGTGAGACCCCATCTCTATTAAAAAAGAAGAAGAAGAAGAAAAGGAAAGATACATGTTTGTAGAGAAAAGTCGAGTTTTGGATTTCAGGGTGGAGAAATATTCAGGCAAGTCATGAGGGTGGGTTATGGAAGTGAAGTGGGCACATCACTTGGTCTCAGGAGGCAAAGGAACCCAGAAGCTGCAGGGTTGGAAGACTCGTCCACACAGATCATAGGGAGACTCAGGAAGGCAACAGGACTGGGGCCAACGTGGATAATGCGAACCAGTCACCAAAATAGCAGATAGGCGGAACCATGACATATTGAGGAAGGATAGAGGGATGAGATCAGATGGCAGGACACAAAGGAGAGTGTCCTGAGAGGAACAATGGTCTGAAAGAAGACTGAGAAGACACCCTAAGATCCATAAAGTGCAGGAGGAACAGCAGCATTTTCCTCAGGGGGCCCCACAAAAAGCAAGTCGTCAGGGTGAGCCAGGTTTCAGCCAAGACAGAGGAGGAAGCCAGAAAGAAGATGAAGATGAAAGAGGATTCCAGAGGGCAGCGTCCCAAAGGTGAAATGCCGAGCAGTACAAAGAAGAAG